AATGAAAAAGGGATGTGTGAATACCTCTACTTAATTCAAAGTCTGCAGCAAACATGGAGTGGGAAACTGTTCTGTTTTCAGAGCTCTTCCCCTTCAAGGAGGGACTGCAGAACTCTGCGTGTAACTGAGACCCTGGGAGTTCTCTGGCAAAATTAGAAAGTCCATGTTTGATGTTTCTAAGGTAAACAAGCAGAAACAAACCAAAGCTGTAAATTTGCTCAAGGATTTTTAAATCTATCGTGAAGATGTTTAGAAAACCGAAGTACCAAGTCAGTATTTTACTTTCCCTTTGCTTTGCTCTCCCTCCTTTGGAAGGCTTCTTGAGCCATATTGATCCCCGCCTTACCTGAAATCAATGGGGTGATACTAGCAATTTGAGTGCGTTTCTAGGCTATTCATCAGGCTAAATGCTAATGCAGAGCAGAGATATCACTGGATAATCAAGGAAAAGTTTTTTTCCACGTGTATGGAGCTGCTGTGGGGCGTCACTGTAGCAATGTTAAAGGACTGAAAGCAGAACTGTATGTGACTTTAAAAATCTAGCTAGAGTCTCACGTGGTGAAGGTTGTTCACAGTTTGCTTTCTCTTTGCCTTTCTTTAGATGGCTGAGTATTTAGGGTAGGTTCAGGCAGCTTGGAGGAAGCTGGTTATTTTGAAGGAGGGCCTGGCAGTCAGTTTTGTTACTAGTTGGAGTTTAGTTTTCCTTGGTTCTCCAGCTTGTACCGCTGTGGCTCAGCCTGTGCTACCTGCTGATCTATTTTTGCTGTAGTTCTCTGCGACCAAAACACATGTCCTTCTGGCAGCGTAGAAGGATTTTAGCCTCTGTCTTTGAGTGACTGGATCTGAAGGAGGGCTGTGTCAGCACCTTGCAAATGTCAGAGGAATTGTTTCAGTTCTTTTCAGGCCTTTCAGGTGTTGCAAGCTAAATGAAAAGCAGTGTCTCATGCGCTCACAGCTCCTCTGCTTCTCTCCCACACATGGGGTGCTTGACCAAGCTGCAGTTGGTTATTGCCTGTGGCCTGGAGTGAGTCAGAGGCACTGTGCTCCAGCTGGGAGCTTGGTGCTGGAGGAGGGCAGCACCTGCCTTGCAAAGTGAGGGATTTCCTTCTACATTCTTGTAGAGTGGCCTCTATGAGGCTTTGGTAACCCAAACTAAGCAAGACATCTGCAGATCGATTTTCAGGGGCTTAACTCTCCCATTCTGCACACAAGCCTTCTCCAGCAACACACACGAAAGTCTTTGTAGCCTGTGGTGTTTTTTTTTGAGGGTTGAAAGATAATTGCACCAATACGTTACCCCAGATACAGTTGGATTGTACTGAGGACCAGGTAAATGCTGCTTCCTCTGTAAATTACTATAAATGCATAGAGCAGCATAAACATTTTCTAAATAAAACAGCCACTGGACAATTGTGTGAGCATCTGAGAAACAAGAGGCAGACCGGCCAGGACTGGTTTAATTGTCCAAGCTAACTCAAGTGCAAACAATGAAGACGTGGATAAGGAATTGAGAGGGGTGTTCAAGGTACATTCTGCTAATTACGTAGGGCACAGAGGCTGAAGCTTTGAGGTTTGTTTTGAACCTCATTTGTATCTTCAGCAAGACTGTGAATCTTGAGATATTTTTCCATGTCATATCAGAGTTTTCCCTTTTCAGTTTCATCTGCATGAAAAGACTTCCTGCATCTTCTTCCTCTTTCCTATGGCCTCTTTCTGTTACCTGGTAAAAATCGCCCAGTGATTTTTCATGACACCTTGAGCATCTGCAACATTTCTGTGTTGCAGTCATCTGCTTTCATCTTCAAATGGGGCTGAAAACCAGAGCTCTTTACCTCCAAATGCCCTGAGTAAGCCTCTTACTGTGATCTGAAAAAAGCAACAAATTCTCCTTCTCCCAGGAATTGCTGGTCAGTGCGTTGTGCCATCGGCCTGCCTGGAGCCAGCTTTCCTCTCCAGCGTGTGAGGGTTGTGTCTCAGTCTGCAGTTGATCTATGTTAGTGTAATTTATGAAGTGCCTTTTGGGGTAGGAAGAGATAATAAAGAGCAAAATGCTGCAGCAGTTGCCCTGCAAGCCTCTGTCTGGAACCGATAAGGGGCTGGGTATGTTGTATGCTACCGGCACTCAATGACAAACTTTCCCAACTCCTCCACTGCACATCAAGTTTCCAGTAGGACAACGTCAGTAGGTTCTTCTGGCCTCGGCTTTGTTCCCTATAACAAACCAACTTTGTCTGGAGCTAATGGGGAAAGAGCTGTTGTGAAAGGTGGGAGGATGGGAGAGCAACATTCAAAAACGGGTGGCACAGTCGCACCTTCTCGCAGCCCAGAGTGCCCGTGGCCTGGATGGTGCTAGTTGGAGGAGAGGGACAGTTACAAGGAGATCTGTAGGCGTAATATCTTATTAGCCCAGCCAGAGCGGCTGGGGAGGAGATGGTCTTGGCGCCCATCACTGCAGTGCTCTGTCAGGCATTGAATTGTCCTGTGGGGCAATGGGCAGCTCGGCAGGCCTGGTTACATTCTGCACAGAAGGGCTCCGACAGGTGAGTGCTGGCAGATGTTGTGGTGGGTCAATGTGACAACTCTCAGCCACTGACCCCAGTTCCTGGGCTAGGGTATATCTGCCCTCAGAGTGCTGCTGGCAGAAGGGAACCTTTGCTTCCCCCTCAGCTGCTCCAGTTGAGCCTTGTCTCCGAGTGCTGAAGGTGGCTTCTGTGGCAGGAGCATCTCTTCCCCTCCACAGCTGCCAGCCTGAGGATAGCAGCAAAGAGCAGAGCCCTTGCATCATGTCCTCCTGGAGCCCTGGGGCTGCTGCTTTGCTGCCAGCTATGTTGGACATGGACAAGCAATGCTGTGGCCAGTTGAAGTCTGACTGTTGTAATCTTTTCTGCAGCTCAGCTGTTTTTGAAGTGGTCTGGGTAAGGTGGCGGGTGGCATCTTTGCAGTAAACCCTGGCTAAGTCAGCCCTTCCAGGGGGCATGGAGGGATTGTACAGTGAAATCTTTGCTGGGGTCAGCAGAATATGCAACACAGGGAAGGTGGCTGGGGCTCTTTGGGTCCTTGGAGGGGAGTGGGAGAGTCCTGTCAGGTTACGAGAGAGTAGACACCCTCTGTGCAAACTTTGCACCCTGAGTTATGGTCGGAGTGCCTTAGCTGGGCTCTCCTGGCTGTTGGTCATCTGTCACCGCCGCAATGCGAGGGTGCCCTGAGCAGGGTGTGTTACTGGTGGCTGCTGTGGTGAGTGTGAGATGAACCCTTAATAGGACCCAGGCCTGGTCCAGACAGGGAGAACACTGCTAGTTTCCTTCGTTGGATGCACACCTCTCTACTGAGTTTGTCTGAGAGGCAGTTTTCCAGGCAGGATGTTAGTAGCTGCCGTGTTTATCTCTATAACTCTCTTTCTAGTCTTTAATGCTGACTGTTTCCACCAGACATATCTGTGGAAAACTGTGTTCCATGTACTCCCACACAGATGTACGTGGATTCCAGGTCCAGGCTGAGGTCTTGCACCAATCCTGGAGGGTGAGCCAGCCCTGAGGAGGTAGGCAGCAGCTGGGGAACTAACTCCAACTGACTCTGGAGAAGAGAATCCTTTGGGGTTATTTTTCCTAGGGGTTCTCTGCCTCCTCCCTGCCTCACAGGCAGACAAATCCACACCGGATGGGATGGCAGCAATCTCTGACTTCCAGTGCAGCGCTGTATGTGAAAGGGACTTTTTCAACACCAGCCGACAGCTCAAGATGGCTTTTCCTCTTTCTTCCCATGTGCTAGAGTTGAGTCAGAAATGCCGCTGAGCTGCTGTAATTGCTCATCTGGGGTTACATTCTCAGGCTTGTGAAATCCATATTCCAGCAGCAAATACTCTCATTGCTGCGAATTAGAGGTAATCTGAGTACCGAGCTCTGACAATGTGCTTCATTTAATTCCTAAGCCCAGAACATTCCTGGATTACTTTATCCACCAGGTTCCCCTCGTTCCCCCTTGGCTCAGCTTTGCTTCTCGGAGCAGTTAGCTCCCCTTCTGCTGCAGTCACTGCAGGTCTCCCTCATCGCTCAGTGAGGAGCGAGGCCTTTGTGGCTGCGGAGACAAGGAACTAATTATCCTGCGAAGGGTTTATGTCCAGCATGCAGCTTTGCAGATTCTTCTTAGCTGTGACGTGCAATCCTGTGCCGGTCTGTGGCCCTGGTTCTTGGCCTGTGCTCGGAGGCCCAGGTGTTGCAAGGGCAGCTCTGCTGCACCATTGCAGCAAAACCATCCAGGCCCGCGCAGCGAACATGAGGCTGTTCTGTGACCTCCAGCGTGCACAGGATGGGTCTGGAAGCAGCCGTCTCCCTCCCAGCACCTCCAGCTGCTGCTAACAGGCCAGCTAATGGGCTTCCTGTTTTGAAAGGGAGGAGGAAGGATAAAAGATGGATAAATCACACAGTTTGGAAAGATGTCTGGCCGCGAGTGGCGGTGAGGCTGCCGGCAGGCTCGGGAGGGAGCTTCGAGTGACCCTGCTCGGCTGCTCTTTTCCCTCCTTGGCTGTGACCACGGCTCGGGGGCACCGTGGTAGCGCAGTGGTTAATCAAGGAACGAGCTGCTCGGGGAGCAGCAGAGCTCTGCGTGTGCTGAAGGGAAGGGAGCAGCGGGCCCCT